CAGCAACCCTCTATTTTTTTTTTCCCCGCCGCCATTTTGTCTTCACGAAGTAAAGACATGTTTTCTTTTCTTCTTATCTACTGAACACTTCTTCCAACAATCTACTAGCGCGAATACACTTATGCTAGAAATTGTATCAACAAAACTGCTTAATCATGACAAATATTCACTGCAAAATTCGGAAAAAGTGCACAATACCATACACCTTACGCGTTTTTCAAAGTAACACATACACATAAACCATGTACACGTCGACTTATTTTTACTTAAAAAAACATCCCAGAATTGCACAAAAATGGCATTGCGCACACTCTTCACTATATTCATGTACACTGCTTTTTTCTCATAAATTCGAAAATTTCACGAAAATACATGACAATTTTTCTCAATCTTTCAATCTTTAACCCGGTAAAAAGAAACATATATGAAATTACCTGATCGCGAAAAAGTATTTACCCTTTACAAATATGAACATTTCCACATATAAAATAAATAAAATATCCAAAAAACTTTTACCTCTAAATCATCTATTACAATACACGTCACCAACGAATTCATACATGAAGCATTATTACAAATATTTAGTATCAAATATTTAAATTATTTCCATGCACGTTTATTTCAACTTAAACGTAAACCAAATTCCTACAAGCATAAAAAATTCACAAAATAACTATCATTTCATTAAAATATCACTGAACCATGTACACGTCGACTTATTTTTTACTTAAAAAAACATCCCAGAATTGCACAAAAATGGCATTCCGCACACTCTTCACTATATCCATGTACACTGCTTTTATCTCACAAATTAAAAAATTTCACGAAAATACATGACAATTTTCTCAATCTTTAAACCCGGTAAAAAAGAACATATATGAATTACATGATCGCGAAAAAAGTATTTACCCTTTACAAATATGAAACATTTCCACATATAAAATAAAAAAATATCCCAAAACTTTTACCTCTAAATCATCTATTACATTATACACGTCACCAACGCGAATTCATACATGAAGCATTACAAATATTTATTATCAAATATTTAAATTATTTCCATGCACATTTATTTCAACTTAAACATACACCCAAATTCCTACAAGTATAAAATTCACAAAATAACTATCATTTCATTAAAATATAATTAAAATTCAAAAACACCACTTAAAATATACATGAGCACATACATTCAATTAATAAAAAAATTACCTTACAATCCTAATTACTTTAAACTAAATCATTGCTAATAAACAATTTTCCCAATAATACCAAATTCCTTTCCACCTTACATTTCCAACAATGCATAAAAATAATTAAAAATACTAACTTACCTAATCTCCTTCAGAATCTTCATTACGTGGCGGATACACTTCTTCATTCTCTTTCAGAATCTTTAAATCATACTTATCTTTCAAAGCAAGATACCAGGTAAAATAAAATAAATAACATGATAAAACATGTTTATTTCTCTCTCACACAACCTTAAAAAACATTTTTTACTATCCTTTTCAATACCACTAAATACCCATTTCGAATTCACTTTACTTATGGCCATGGGATCCAAAAATTCACAAACACTATTTCACACAACACAGAATAAAGCCAAATACAAAATTTCCAGATTTTTTCCCGATTTCCCCCCTTTTCCGATTAAAGAACCGTAATTCGTCCATTAATATCACATGACATATCCCATGATCTCTCATTTCCCCCACACAAAATAATGCGTAATCGGAACTCAGTACTGCTCACATTATTACCAAAGTCCCAGGTAGTAATCTTTATCGCCTCCAAAATGTCGCCAAAATACCAGTTACCGTAATGTAAAGATCAACCAGCAATTTTTTATGTTAGTAATTGAATAATTAAAGAGTATGATAATCTTTTATGTTGATATTACGCTTGGCGATGATGACAGATTTCAGTTGAATGCGTTAAAAAATGTTGACGAGGAAAAATTTACCAAAAATTTATTTCCATATGCTAAAAATAAAATTTGTTGATGATACTCACAGATCCAAAGTTTACATTTAGGGCTATTTGAATTAAGAATAACTGATTTGTTATTCACATAAACCCAGAACCAGCGCCAGGGCTCGTATGGCCGCACCAAGTCACAGAATTTAGAATTCACAGAGAATGCACCAGGCGGTAAGATATCTAGCACCGGCCCTCAATAAGGCTTAAGTATATGTCAGAATTTATTGATTCAGAACTCTGATAAGCCTTAAGCATGTGCAAGAAATAGACATAAGTATAATGACTCATGATGCATAGCCAAATATGTATAGTGAAGGATAGCTAAATTTGATGATAATAGCCACTAATTTTAAAGGTTTTCGGATATCACAAAGCAAAGGCGAAAAACGGAAAACCTTGTTGTTATTTGCCCAGCTCATGATGCATAACCAAATATGTATAGTGAAGGATAGCTAAATTTGATGATGATAGCCACTAATTTTAAAGGTTTTCGGATATCACAAAGCAAAGGCGAAATTTTCCAATTAACGGATTTTGTCAGGAAATGTGGAGAAGTGGTAATAAATGAAGATCATATAAAAAAAGTGTTTCATTGTGATGACAATACTTCTCAATCTCATCAATCAATTGATGAATGGTGAAATCTGTAGTATAGTTCTATATCCAGAAAATAATGCTACTGATAGTGAAGAAAGTGACAGAGAAGTCACTGAAAACGAGAAAATTTCAATTGACAAGTTAGTCGGAATTCTCGAAACAGCAGTTACAGGACTTCAACGAATGTAACTGAAAAAGAGATTATGTCTATCTACAGAATTAAAGAGAAAGTATTAGCACAGAAAAGAAACAACTTAAACAACTTATATTGAAAGAAATGTTTAATAAGGTAAACAAATAAATATTAAGCAATTTTTTTTTTGTAAATTTTGATACTCTTTAGTTCATAAATCATGATTTCATATTTTTAATTTTATAATTTCTACATGCCATCTAACTAGATTTAAACTGATGATCTATATCCGGAATCGTCAAAGTTCCGGAGATTCCAGACTTTGTACTGTACAACCAGGGACAATTTGAACTATCTCCTAGTTTTTGGGTGAAATTGTAATTCCAATAAGTCACCAAATGTTAGAGTAGACTGAAGGGTACCCCTTGTATTATTGTGAAGTTGTTGTTTCATTTATGGTAACCTGAGTAGTTGAATGTTCTATAAATATACTTTTACCTAAAATTGGGTGCTCTTTTGACTTTTTTAAGTGAAAATATATCAATGTGTACATGGAAAAACTCAAGAGAGTGCGCAATGCCAAGTTTGTGATTTTTTTTAAGTAAAAATAGGTCAATGTATACATAGATACCAAGTTTGTGCAATTCTTTGACTTGTTATTTTGTCTTTGTGTAGCGGCGATTTTTCACTACACAAAGACAAAATAACAAGTCAATGAATTGCACAAACTCGGTATTCATGTACCACCAAAAATCGCCAAGGGTTACCCATAAATATACTTTAACCAAATAAGTTGAGGTCCAGTACTTTATTTTATTATTTAACATTTTTAACACAAAGACAAAATAACAAGTCAATGAATTGCACAAACTCGGTATTCATGTACCACCAAAAATCGCCAAGGGGTACCCATAAATATACTTTAACCAAATAAGTCGTCTAGTACTTTATTTTATTATTTAACATTTTTAATAACGTATTACATTTTTATTTAACTCTTTATATCTTATTCAGAAGTCAAACAACTTTATATCTTCTTGAATTTTAATTAAAATTATTCAAATTCATTAATTATTTATTTATTCTTCATGCTCTTTGTTGATGGTCTTCTATAGTGCTCTAGTACTTCTAATTTTAGAAATTAAGCCCTGTTCATGTCAAAGCACCATTCTCAATAATTTTAACTACATTGGTCATCTACTTTTTAAAGTAACCAATAATTACCAACATTGCCCTTTCTCTGACATTAATAGATACAGACGTCATTTTTAATATTAGAACTCAAATTTATTTTATGCTTTTGTTTGCATGTGCAATGTCTTTTTTTTTTTTTTTTTTTCTTTTTTTGTATAATTAATTTGGCAACATTCATATGTAGTTTTAGAAACACTGTTCTAAAGAAATTGAAATGTAATGTTATCGCTTGTGTTTGCTTCACACTCTGTGAAGGAAATAAATGCTTTCCTGGTTGTACAATGTTGAACAAATTAAGCTTTAATGTGCTTTGCATCACTGAATGAATAATGCTATAATAAGTACAGTATTTGATATTTTAAAATGCAATCAAGCTGCTGCCTTAGGTTTCTTTGATATAACTTTTGTTTGTGTTAGCAATCATTATTTTGAAATCTGAATTCATATATTTCAAAATTTCTGCTAATTGATCCACACAGGCCTGCCCCCTTAACCTTGGATGCCTTCAAGAGTAGCTTTCTAGGAAAAGCATGCTGTGGCTACCTACCCAATGAGGAATACTTCCATCGAAAAATTTCTATGGAAAATTTATTCATTCACATTGCACAAGAAAAAGAATTAGGAAATCCGGTCTGCCAATAAGAAGTTTTCGGCGCTTTTGCACCGCTGGACTACTAGTGACCATCAGCATTTAGAGTTTCTTATATAAAGTTTTGTTTTTGGATTTAACAGCAACATTTCAACTTAGTTTGGTTTGATTTATTTAATAACGGCAAAGCCCTCAAAGGTTATCTGCCTAAAAGGAGGGATGCCTTACTGGAAGACTTTCTAGGGGGGGGCTGGCTCTATTTCAAGTTAGTAAAATCATTCTTCCTACATCTTTCTTTGTTCATCATTTTTGTTAATCGGAACACAAAAAAATAATTCAATTCACCTTTAACTTTTATAAAAATTAATTTATAAAATGAGTTAATGTGATGAAATTATTTAAAATGAAAAAAAAAAAAAAAATTACACTATGCCTATCTACATATTACACTGCGTGCACTTATTTTATAATGTATTTTCTTAATAATTCTTAAAACTTCATCACCTTTGTATGAAATGAGCAGACATGGCAGAAAATTAAAACAGTCCACTGGGACACAATCAACTGCCAAATAATTCCAGAGTATAATTTACTTTCATTGAATTTTGCCAAAAATGCTATCCTTTGCACACATTTTACCGAAACAGACAGACAGACAAAGTAGACAGATGTCTTGTTTTGCACCCGCTAAGTCTTTCTGCACCGATGGGCGAAAAATCAAGCATAGGTGCGAAGGAAAGGTATATAGAAAGAGGGGCAATTTCGCATTTGAGGAGAGTAAAAAGGAACTTCGTACATCTTGTACGAGTTCAAAAGGCCAGGAAGAAAAGATGGGACAAAATAAAATTTAAAATAAATGGCCCAAAAATAATAGAGGAAGGGAAAAAAAAAAAAAAAAAAAAAAAAAAAAAAGGGGCCTATAGAATGAAAAGGAAAAGAAGGTAGGAAATATCCTAAAATACGATTGTGTCCATGATGTAAGTGTAGTTAAAAGGAGAAGAAAATGTCTTCATTTACAATAAATAGTGTCTCACATGTGTGTTTGTGTAGTGAGTGTGTTTGGTAATGGTGAATAGATGTGTTACTGGGGAAAAAACAATTATTGACGGTGTGTTAAAATGCTTCGTATCAAGGTATTTAGCATGGAATATAAAGTAATATGTACGCTTGCATCCTGAGAATCAACAGCAAAAGACCCATAACATCAAACAAAAGTATATATTAATTTAACCAAAGTAACTTATGCTACTTTCATTCGTTCCCAACATTTTCATACATTTTTCAAAAACAGCAGCAGACACTAAGAACAGAGAGCCATATACAATACAAGAACACAACCGTACAACACACAATCGAAAAAGGTATATATATGTTTATATATATGTGTGTGTGTGTGTGTAAATTACAGAGTATTATGCATTAAAAACATAAATTAAACATAGTATTTATTAATTTAACTGTCATAATTTAGTACAAGATTAATTATTTTACTATCATAATTTATTACTAGTTAATTAATGTTACTAGTTATAACACAAATGAGGCACACTGTTATTTATATAAGCTCATAGTTCTAAAGAATTTCATTTAAAGGCAGTGAAGAATAAACCATCCCTTACATATGGACATTTAACAGATAGCAAAGAACAGTATGAGAAAAAATTGGTGAGGTATAATATTATTTAAAGGCGAAAATATATTCAAGCGATCTAAAAAAAGGAGAATCCAGAAGATCCGAGAGGGAAATAGCGCGATGCCCAAATTATCCCTCTCAGTCCCCAAATTTTTTCCCTCTCTCGAGAATTCCTCAAACAAGGTGCTTTGTAAGTGGTTGACAGACGTGAACTGATAACGTTGGCTTCTGTTTGGAAGTTGATTACACACAAGGAAGCCACAAGCAATGGCAATTTCAAAGTATTTTTTAATGCTTTTAAAACTGATGAAAATGATTAAGATTTAATTGATTTAAATGCACTTATTTAAAGAAAGAAATTTGATTTAGTTTAGATGAAAGAAAAGTACTTATCTTAAAATTCCAGGCTTTTGGAGTATAATATCCTTACATTGTCCGCTGTTTTATTCTCGTCAACATCGGAGCCGAAATTCATTGGAATGATATAGGTGTTGTAGGGGAAAAAAACATTTTTCAAAGAAATTTAATTGATAATCACCAAGAGGAAAGGAAATTTTTCCACTTTTTTACGGAGCGCAGCGATCGTGCTGCCGCTTGCCTCGGTGATCGCAGACTTCCATTTTACCGAAATCAACCGAAATAAACAAACAATATGCGTATTGTCAATGCCATCAGACGCAATCATTATTCCGCACAAATATGTACCTGTGGCTCAGTACGTTTTAGCATCTTTAGATATATCTATTACTAAGAATAGCAAAAAATAGTTCCCTCCACCCATGTTTTGATTTGATTTATAATGCCTTTTGGACTTTGTCACAATAGAGAGATTGTATTTCTCGTTCTTGGTTTATGTCAAAAGAATAAGTGTTCATCGACGATATGGACGATACGCCGTTCTTATTTTTCAAAAGTATTTAATTTCCTATAAAAGCTTATATTTTTATAAGCCTTTTTCAAGAAAACAAGTATTGTATCGAAACTTTTTGTCGCGTTTGTCCTATATATATGACTTGAGAAATTACCAAGATATTCCTGTGGCTAAATTTAAAATGAACGCAAAGAGCTCAAGGAGGTTCTATTCTAACCTCCTTGATAGAGCTGATGTTCATTTAGGTTCAATGAGCAAGTTCTCAATGTAAACAACAACAAACAATGCTTGAACCTGAACTGTGAATTTTACTTCCAGTATAATGCTTGGCAGTTTCGCAGTTTTTCAAGCTATATTTTCTAATTTTAAGTTTTCATTTCCACATTATATTTTTTGCTTATGTTTTTTATATATATTTTTATTATATATTTAATTCTCCTTATTCCACCTTATATTTTTTATTTATAATTAATTCTCTTGTTTTTTAGTAGCGACGAATATTGCTATTTAATAATAAAGAATACTTTTAATGCAAAAGTTGCCAGATTTGTTTTGTTATCCCTACTTTGGGCGACGTTTTGATTTTCCGAGAATCCGACATCCATAGTGTTTCTCTTAGTATCATTAAACAAGTTTAGGAGATTAAAATAATTATTTCTAGTATGCCCTCCTATAGTTCTTCCTATATGAGTACATAAATGCCTTTGTAAAATAGTATGCCTAGAATATATATTTCTATTCCATGCTGTTTAATTGAATTCATTTAAAGTTTCATTTATTATATTAATCTGTTAGTTTTATTCGTCCGATATGAATACATAATTGCTTTCTTAATATGCTGTGTTTTGAAGATACAGTATTTCAGTTCCATGCTGTTTAATTGAATTAATTTCTTCTATGAAAGTGCTAATTTTTATTTCAGGTTAAGTTATTTTTAAACGTTTTTGTCCCCTGTACTATTGTTTGTGAGTCATTCTTCTAATTTTTGAGTGACAGTTGAACAATTTTAGTTTTATTAGTCCCAAGGGCTTTGTCCCTGAAGGACTATTGTTTTCGTTTTGCGATTTTGCGTTGAATCACTATAGGACTATTGTTTTCGTTTTGCGATTTTGCGTTGAATCACTATAGGACTATTGGTTTCGTTTTGCGATTTTGCGTTGAATCACTATATACGGCGAATCCCTTTTCAAATTGTTGCCACCAAATGTTAGAATCCTGCATTATGTATGAAGAAATTAAGTATGAAAAATCTGCATTAATGTGTGTATATTTCTTGCATTGTGATAAAACAACGGTACATAAAGCCATCGAATTTAGAATGACATGACGTAATCCTCTTATGAATATGGGCATGTGGAAGACCAAATTTGAAATTTGTTATTTGTTTTATTATCGATTTCATATTTTTGTAAAACTTTAAGGAATTTTTGAGTAAAGAACTCAACGATTTAAAAGCGAGAAGGCCTACCAGCGGCCGAGCGGTAAAATCGCTGAACACTGGTAGTTCGGTCCGAGGTTCGAATCCCGCGAACGGGCTGGCTGCATGGGCGTTTTCGTAGTTTTCCCCATGTGTAACGTGTATACAAGCCAGTTTTGCTTAGAAAGTCCTTCACGAAGGCATCCCTCCCACAAGGCAGATAGCCCTAGTGTGCTTTGATGTATTCTCAATACACCAAAACACCAATTAAAAGCGAGGAATGGCAACACTCTGCCTTTAACCTGCCTTTCTCTGGAAAAAACCTTTTTATCTCCAGCTCCCGGAACTGTCAATCGAAATTCTAAAGATTAAAAAGATCTTCATTTTAAAATTATTTTGCGACATCGCTATTGAACTGAATTTTATGGTTTGATTGCAAAGAACATGATATTTAATAAATAAAGGTGATAGACAAAACGTTAAAAAACGCCCCTTTGGACGTAATTTATAATCCGAAACCTTCCAGTTTCTTTCTTTCTTTCTTTTTTTTTTTTTTTTGGCTTGTTTATTTATTTTTCTTGCAGTTAACACCAATCCTTTTCGGAACTCAATGTTGGGATTTTTTTTAGTTTTATTTAATTATATTATTATGTTCTGCTAACCTCTATTTTGATATTTCATAAACTAATACTTTCCCATGTACTCTCTTAAAATATTGCAATTTTCATAAACAATACTATGTGCAAACTAAAAATAAAAATTACAGTTAAAATACACTGGTGTGCAAAAATTAAGAACGAGACGGTTTTTTTAATATAACTTTGTACAAAAGCTTTCCAAATCAACACATTTAATACCGTAAGATCTCCAATACGTAAGGACATGAGTAATGTAAGCAACACTTACTAAAAGAGAAATCAGAGGGATAAAAAGAAGCTTTATTGAAAAAGTAGCATGGAGCGCAATGCGACTGAAGCCGAAACATCCCTGTGATGGGTGTCCAGCAAGAAACATCCGGTCTTTAATAGGGAATATGATCTGCCCTGACTGCTAGGCAGGTTTCACAGCGTCTGCCCATGCTGAGAATGAGGGTGTCAATGAGTTGTTGAGGCATTGCTGCCCATTCGTCTTGCAGCGCCAATCGAAGCTCCGGGATCGTTACTGGTGGTAAGGTACGAGCTGCCAAGCGTCTGCCTAGAAAATCCGATACATGCTCGATGGGATTGAGATCCGGAGATCGTGCCGGCCAATCCATACGTTCAATATCCTCACTCTCTAAGAGCTGTTCGGCAGCTACTGTGCGATGACATGGTGCATTGTCGTCCATGAAAAGGAACTGCGGACCCATAGCGCCTCTAAAAAGACGCACATATGGAAGAAGAATCTCGTTATAATAACGGGTCCCGTTGACTGAACCTGCGTCGAAGATGTGAAGGTCTGTACGACTACCAAGCATGATGCCTCCCCAAACGAGAACACCGCCACCTCCATACCTGTCCCTTTCAATGATGTTCGAGGGATGATTGCGGCTTCCCTGCTCTCTCCAGATGAGTATGCGATGAGAATCACTACTCAGACTAAATCTGCTCTCATCTGTAAAGAGTACTCGTCCCCATTCACTGTCTCTCCAATTCCGGTGTTCCCGGCACCACAGAGAACGCCTTCTCCGATGGGCAGGCGTTAGAGTTACACACCGTACAGGGCGTCGTGCAAACAGACCACCACCGTGCAGTCTTCTGGC